TCTATGGTAGACCATTTCTACCTGCATGTTCAAACAAAGTCCTGAAATTATTTCAGTTGCACATATCCTGATGGACCAGCTTCATTCAGGACTCACAGCATTCCTGCAGTTTCACCTGAGGCTGGACCCATTGTTACACATACACATGTATGATGGATGGATGTCTATGTGTGTGTGATTGACATTTCAGTTACTGACATTACAGAAACAAAAGCATTCCTGCTGTTCGACACGTGGCTGTACCTGATTAGCCCTACATTTGCTTTGTGTGTGTACGTGTGTGTGATTGATATGATATACATTAACAGAAACGAAAGCATTCCTCTAGCCTAACCTGAGACTGGAGCCATAAATGCCTGTTTAAGCTTACAAACATCTTACAAAGATTTACTTTGCACAGGTTTTGTATGTATATGTCCGACTCTCAGGGTGTACAATAGCAAAAACTAAAAACTGGAAGGAAGTTGTTTTTTTTAAATTACAATTGTTACAAACTCATTTTAAAATTTGAGTTTGAGATGAATGTTCAGGTTATACCACCAAAAAGTCATTTAGCTAGTGATTCTAAATGCCATAGTTGGTGTTCACAGGGCCATAACCGTCTACAACATGATATAAAATGATCCTAAAAAGTCGACTCTGTTCATCTGGACGTAGCGTCTCAGAATTATTAAGACTTCACGTGATACCAGTGCCATTATTATTATTCTGACTGGTAGCATTTGATGAAAATCAGTTTCCCTTAACACTGCAAATGATTCTATCGGTGCGTGAAATATGCCTTCTCATCTTAATATGGCCAGTTCTGGTCCCAAAAAAAACCCAAACACAGGATGAAAGACTTGATGCCACAATGCATAAACTAGTGGCTACATGTCCTTTACAACCTGCAGTCTGTGGTGTTTTCTTCTTGAGTTGTGCAGGGACACTCACAGTGTCTATGTGAAAAGGACGAGAGGGACACTGACATTTTTCTACAATGTTCCAGTTAAAAGCTGCTTGAATACACATTAAAACATGCTGGCAGAGCTCACATTATCTGGTGGTTTATCACGTAGCATTATCAAAAGCACTGATCTCACAATATTTGTGGTCATTTACTCAAATCTGAGTCCTGTATTTCATTTCATTTTCAATTATTTTAAGTCTTTTAAAAATGTCATCTTTCCTCAATTATTTTTACCCCTGTTTCTTAATCTATCTATCCCAAAAATGATTTCAGATCAGGCGCCCTTACATTGCTCTCAATGAAAATACAGGAAAGACTTTAAGACAATTTGAGCATGTGCTTGATTCCATGCAGCTTGCAGCTTATCAACCACATGCCACAGAACTCTTGTTAAAAATGTTCTCATATCAATTATTGTTTGTTGATTTTTTGAGATCGTTGAACACAAACAGGCTCTTATTTTAATCAAAAGGTGTTTGGAACAATTTCACCAGAAAAACAATCTAGATGGCTGGAATCTAGATTTTTTTTTAACTAACAGGACTCGAACAGTCGGCCTAGATGGGTTTCAATTAAACATTTCTGAAACAAATTTCTGAAACAAAATTGAAACAAATAACCAATAACCTTAACACCTTAAAGACTAAAGAACTCATAATAGACTTTCAAAGGAAAAAGACAGAGATCCCACCACTGATCATCAGCGGGGACTGTGCAGAGACGGTGGCAGACTTTCTCTTTCTGGGAGTCAACAAGAGGAGGACCTTTCTTGGAGCGTGAACACCAAGGGGCTGCTGAAAAAGGCCCAACAGAGACTCTCAGGAGGAATAACATCACACTGAGACTGCTGGTGTCCTTCTGCAGAGCCTCCACCAAGAGCATACTAACGCACTGCCTATGCATCTGGTACACGAGCTGCACAGTGGCTCAGAGGAAAGCACTGCAGAGGGTCATTACCGCACAAAGGATCATTGGCTGCACTGGAAGATCTAGTACTCGCTGTCTTAAAAAAGCTCAGAACATTATAAAAGATACCTCACTGCCTGGCCACTCCCTGTTTGAACTGTCGCCCTTGGGCAGGCGGTACAGAGCAATCAGTGTAAGGATAAATACACACAAACATTGCTTTTACCCAACCTTAATAACATGTCTGAATGCTGCTAGTAAAAAATGGCCATCGCGCTATTCTTGAAATGACCTATGGACTGACTGAGGCATGTGTGTGGGAATGTATGTGAATGTATGTTCATACAGTTAGATTATTCTTAATAGCACTTTAAATATTTTACCAGTGTAGGTTTTATATTTCTGGATGAAGGCTTCTGTTAAAAAAGCTGCAGAAGGACAAGGTTTTAAAGGAACTTTATAAATAAATCGTAGTTTTGCTTCATACACGATTCTGTGTGGATTCCATATTATTAGTTATTAATTCATTCTACATGTTTGTTATGCAGGTCTTTTGTCTGTGTTTATTTTGAAAATGCACATGCAACCATGGAAGACTAGTCTTTGGCAGACCATTTCTAATAAAGTCATTTGAACTTGACCCTGAATTTCCTTCTGCTGCAAACATGATGATGTACCAGCTTCATTCAGGACTCACAGCATTCCTGCAGTTTCACCTGGGGCTGGACCCATTGTTAGACACTGAATACTATACAGTGAAGGTTTAAACCTGCAAAGAGTTAAAGATTTGCTTTGCACGTCTATGTGTGTGACTGACATTACAGTTATTGACATTACAGAAACAAAAGCATTCCTGCTGTTCAACTTACGGCTGGACCTATAGATGCCTGATTAACTCTACACACATACTACAAACATTGACTTTGCTTTTGTCTTTTGTGCATGATGTGTGTCTGACTCTTGTAGAATAACAGAAACTAAAACTAAAAACTGGAAGGAAGAATAAAAATACTATAATTACAGGTAATGTTGGAAAAATAAGTTGAAGCCACAAATGAATTCTTTTATAATCTGTTACAATATGTCTGTAATGATTTCCCAATCTGGCAAATAATTACAAATGTCACAGTTTTCATTCATGATTCTCAAATCTTGATTATTCAGTAAAATATTACTAAATAATGTGACTGTAATTAATTTACAATCCACTAAATGGCATGCAAGTTCAACATGTGACAGATTTTATTCAAGGGTGATTTTTTTTTTTTTTTAATGTTGTGCAACTGTAGAGCAGAGAAAAAGGGCATGTTACACCTCAGATTTACATTTTTCAGGTCACCTGAAATTAAACTTGAAATGAATGATAATGATTTTTAACTACATTGATATCAGTTTTATCATATCAGAGTCTAATATTGATATTTTTTCTGTTTTGTAGTTGTATTGATCAGTTGTATTGATACCAAGGCCAATATAAATTTTTCCTGTAGGCTTGACTTTTTATTGAGTCCTTTTTTTTACTTCCTGATCATTATTCTGTGTGCAGGTTTAATGGGTTACTTGTCTCGGACCCTTACATAGATAAACACATGAAAACAGTGCTAACACTGTGAGATTTCATTGAAATCCTCACTGCTTCTCTTCTCATGACTGGCTCATTCAGAATAAACAGAGATGATTTTTCATACACTTCTCTTAATTTGTAAAATAAATAAATAAATCCTTTAACATTTGTATATTCAGTTTTGTAAATCTGTAGAGAAGTTTGGAAATATTTGAATAAATGTGTGAATGAGAAATCCTTAAACAGGTGGTAATGGCTGAAAAGTCTTTTACTCCAAGAGCTGTAAGCACAGAAAAATCATGAGTAAATTCATTCAGGCTGCTCAATAAGCTTCCTTTTTTCACAATATTACTATTTCTACACATTGAACTTTTCAGATGCATGTGGAGATTTGTCTGGACCTGGGGGAGGAATGACTCTTAGTATTTTAATGACCTTGTTAGGCACCACTGTGTCAGTACTTGAAATTATCCTCTTTGATGTGAAGCTTTGAGACTTGAGGCACAAATAAGATACAAATGATACAAAAATTATTTTAAACTCAAAAAAATTGTTAATAAGTATCTCAAAATGACAAAAATGATAACATAACACAAAATATATTTTCAGTATGTGATGTCTTTTTATTCAGTGTAAACATATAATTAAGGACAAGAAAAGACTGGTTTTTAACTTTTGCCTATAAAATACTCCAAAACACAACCAAAACACATAACCAACACAGACACAAAAGTGATCATAGTTCAAATTCAAATTCAAATTTTAGTTACATGCAACCTCAGAGTAGTGTCTAGATAAAGGATCACAAAATAATAATTCATCAGCAGCACTGTGTGTGGTGTGAAAGAGTGAGACCTGAACGTGGCAGAGCCAGACTCACTCGGAGGAAACAGACTGAGGATAAGCTAACAATTAAACTTTAGAAGCAAAAAGAAAGAAAGGAATTAACAGGACACACTGCTGTAAAAGATTGAAGGCAGGTGTCATGAACCATAGCCATAACCAGACTGGTTTGAATGGATCACACGGCAGGGCAGGGCCCCAAAGGCTGAGCAAAACTCAGCTGGCCGGTCTCTGTGACTGATGACGAGTATTTTAAGAAACATGACTTTTCTCTGCAGTGTTCCATACTGCAACTCTTAATATTAATGACAGTAAATTGTTTTGACTTCCAAGCAGAAAGTGTGAACATCAACACTTCAGTCTTGTTGTGGAAATCTGAAACTAATCGATTTCCACAACAATCGAGACAAAGGTTGTCTTTGTGAGTTTTAACCTTTGCAGAGGGGTCAGTTAGTATTACAGAGCAGAACAACAGTCCACAGTGTCTTTGTCAACAAGTTTTGACAAAGACACTGCAAACCCAAAATATTTAATATAAAATAAAAGATAACTTTTATATCATGTAGTGTATATGGAAGATTACATGGACACAGAATGTGAGTCAAATTTTTCCATTACACCCTTCAGCCTTGACAATCAGCATTCCAGCAGTACACGTAACAATACAGCATTGACCAATAGGAGAGGCTCACAGAGTATATAGGTAGCCTCAGTAAGTAAGCCAAAAGAAGAAGAAAAAAATAATAATATGAAAAAGGTGAGTGCAGCACAAATTCTTCCTATTTCTCACAATTCATTGTGTTTTATATACAGAACAGAAGTGTGGTTGTAGATTTTAACTTATTTAACATTATATATTTCTCCAGGGACAGTTTAAAGCTGTAGTTGTTTCGATGATATTTGGGCTTCTGTTACTTTGCAGTTGTCTTGCAATCAAGGTGAGTGGTTATTTCTCTCTGTCATGTTACAAAATGTTGCATATCTAAACAGCAGATCCAGTACTTTTCAGATCACAGTGTTACTTTTTATATGATTTAGGTTTCAATACAATTTGTAGTAAGTATTAATAAACACATTCATTCTTTCCTCAGTTGTTAAACCTCACTGGACCATGGATTGTGGCTCTGAGTTGGGTTCTGATGGCTTTGATGAAGTATTGTTTTTCAGAGTTAACCATAAAACCAGTTACTAACGAGATATTAAATAGGATTTCTAGTAAGTATTAAGACCAGAAGAAGTCATTACATGTAGCTTTGAAAGAAATGTTTTGAAAGAGATGTTAATTTTTATCACTAAAAATACAAGACAGAATAAAATCATTTGCAGCTTACAAATATGATGTACTTTTCAGAATGGTTGGAGTAAAAAGAAGTCTCCAAAACTGACCTGAAGAATTCAACTAAGAAGAATCTGACCTGATGATTTCGACTCATGAATAATTTGGATTTTTTTAAATTAAATTACTTTCTGAATTTGAGTATTCATTATAAAATAAAAAAAAATTGTAATCAAACTTTGTGCTCTTACTCTTTTCATTCACTAAATTTACTGATGGTGTTTATACATTTGACTCAAATTGAGTTTGTAAAGTGGTTTGAGGATTTTAAAACAGGGAGATCAAAATTATAGAATTAGAATTAGAATTCAACTTTATTGTCATTGCACACATCACAAGTACAAGGCAACGAAAGGCAGTAACTGTATAACTATTATAAATGTTTGAAGTTGATAAATTAGCAAAGACTGGGAAATGTAGAAGTGAGCAAATTGCACTGTGATGTGCATTAAAACCCCTTTGGCTTTTCAGAGTGTATTAACTTATTTCAGCAGCTGTTTAGTTGCTCAGCCTTAAATGTTGGTCTCCTGAATCTTTTTTAGATTTATATTTGGTTCCAAAATTCAATTCAATTCAATTTTATTTATATAGCGCCAAATCACAACAACAGTCGCCTCAAGGCGCTTTATAATGTACAGTAAAAGCCATCCTATTTTTAATTTTGAATGTTGTGCATCTGTAGAGCATGAAGGAAGGCTGAATTTTCTCATTTTATAATGATCTGTCACTGATCTTAGATTCTTTAAAAGAAAAACACATGAACAACAATCCCCAGAAACACACAAATTTAATGTTCTTGATTAGTATTTTATTAACCATTACATGACCTTGTTAGGCACCACTGTGCCGGCACATGAAATTATCCTCTTTGATGTGGAGCTTTGATAACTGGCACAAACAAGGTACAAATAAACATCCCTGTATATAATACTGATTTAAAATAATCAGCAATAAATATCTCAAAATCACACAAGATAAAAATGCAGAGCGTTCTCTTCATAACACAACACATCTACTCAGTATGTGATGTCTTTTAATTCAGTGTAAACATTAAATTAAGGAGAGAAAACAGACTGGTTTAAAACTTTTGGTCCTAAAATACAAAAAATAAAATATAAACGTAGACGCTGATTCCTTAGACTGAAATGGAGTTAAAATGTCTCAAGGAGAAACGTAAACATGTTCATTAAAAATTCAGTAATCACTTCTAGCATCAGAAGTCTTTACTGATAAAGTCTGGTCTCTGGTCTCAGTCAGAACGTGTGATTTGTCAAGACTAAGAATCAAAAATACAGAGAAGTGATTAAAAACTAAACTGATTTAAGCCCAGAGAATGAATAAAGCAATCAAGCTCATTACAAGGTTACAATTCATGGAATTTGCATGTGGTTCAGCAACTTCAACTAAGAGTAGAGGTAGGATTTGCCTCCCCCTACTGGTTTAAGAGTCACACTGCAGTCAGCAGCAATGAGCACCGACTTCTCATGCTTTAAAATCTCCTGTTACAATGCACTCAAAAGAAAATATACCTATACCAGTGGCTGACAACCAGAAGTCCAGTGATTTTAAATACACCCACAGCCTGCAAACCAGCAGATCCTCAATGATGTCTTATATCAGGACTGCCATAATGCATTAATTAAATACACCATTAAATAATTAATTAAATGTGGCAATAATTAATTAAAATTGGAATTAATTAATTAAATAAATAGTTATGACACATGTAATTAATTAATTATTGACACATTTAATTAATTATTTATGTATTTCA